ATCGGGAAGTTCAGTTCAGTAATTAGCCCGCGTTGTTTTGTAAGCAGTTAAAAGTAACAGACTGCGAATGTTTCTGCAACGATATAACATGACCTTGTGTCAAAACAGATAACCCATCATATAAATTGTTTAAAATATAACAAACACAAAGGAAAATGGGCACACGTTCTGAAATATTTCTCTGGACTAATTCGTTATCTGTTGCAGTCGTTCAGTGACATGATAATGTCTTTAATGCAAACCCAAATGAATAATTTTGCCAAACTCAGTTCGCTTAAGAATTTTCAGTTTACGTTCGTATATTTTTTTTCTTGGGATTTGAGTAGGTACATTCCTTACGCAAATAGAAACATGTTAAGCCCGGATGTCCCCAAATCGTGTAGCAAACAATGATATACAGCAGGAAGAAAGAAAGAAAGACAAGCACTTGTGGCTCAGATCAGAAATACATGTTTTACACAGAGTACACGTACGTATTGTTGATACTGAAAAAAAATTATCCGTGCTAAGATGAAACGTGTCAAAAACGGGGGGGGGGCATTCTGATCCCTTCGAATTCCTTCAGAAACAAGTTGTCTATTAACTCCAGGAAACACCGCACACCTGAGTTTTCGAGTTTATCCAGAAAGAATTACAACATCACCATGAGGCACAACACTTTCTTATATCAATATCAGACACAAACTGGGTCGGGATAGCTCAGTTGATATAGCGAAGGGCTACGCGTTGCACGACCGGGGTTCGATCCCTGCAGGGGCAAGATTCTCTCTTCTCCATAACGTCCACGCCGGCTCTGGGGCCCACAGCCAGCCTCCCGTCCAATGGAAAACGCTGGCAATTTCGCCCGGGGCATGAAGATGACCGCTCACCTCCATCTAATGCCGAGGTCAAGAATGGTAGAGCTATATCTCTACTCCCCCCATATGCCTTCATGATATAGCGCTTAATTAATTAGGCACAGGGATAACTTTACCTTTGATATCAGACAAAGCATTGTGGATCGGACGGACTCTACCGTAACTGCACGCGTTACTTCACGGTAGCTTATGTGATGACCCGCGAGAACCCGTTACGCGGCCAGCTCACAGAGCTGTTCACCTTCAGTCATTTTACAGGCCTAGCTACATCTCATCTCTCTCTCATTATCACCTCTGCCAGTTCCTGACTCTCTCTGAGTTAAAATTTTATAAATCCAATCAATTACGCTTCAATGAAGCTGACATTTTAATTAAACCAGAACTACATCTCACATGCGAACTAGTTAACAAGAGTTAATCTGCGATGTTGGAATCGAGGAAGCTCACATTTTGTTTCAACCTGTGGAACAATACGAGGTGTCACATGGCGGGTTGCGTAACTGACTGGGTCATAATTGATGCCACCAATGTATAACGAATTAATTTTTAATACCCGGAACTGTCATTAATAACGAAAGCAAATATAACAATAAATGACATGCCAGAACGCTCTGAATCCTGACTAGATCAATACGGTACCAGCCTAAAAGTACATTTCCGGTTAATTCACTGTATCGGCACGAATGGGCGAGAAGAGGAACGCATATAGGATATTGCTGGGAAAGCCAGAAGGAAAGAGATCACCGCGAAGACTAAAGCGTAGGTGGGTGGACAATATTTTTTTTTATTACTTGGTGGGGTGGGACTAAGCCACTTGTACTGCGGCCACTTCTGGCCTATTGTACCAGCCCCAGATGATAGGTGAGGGTGATTGTGGAGCAACTGGTGGAATGAAGATTGGCAGGGGAAACCGAAGTACTCGGAGAAAACCTGCCCCAGCGCCACTTTGTCCACCATAAATCCCACTTGACCAGACCCGGGATCGAACTCGGGCCGCCGCGGTGGGAAGCCAGCGACTAACCGCTTGAGCTATGGCGCGGCCCCTGGACAATACTAAAATGGAGCTTAGAGAGATAGGATGAGACCACTGACTGTAGAGACCAACTGCAAAAATGAACCCTGCTAGCTGGAACGCGGATTACTGTTGTTTTACAGGGTCTAAGCTTCAGCAATTGTGTTGCACTAGACTTCGATACTCCAGGCTCTCCAGCTAGACGTTCCAGTGATTTGCTAGGTGTACGTTCAAATCTGGTACCTATGGCATCTTAACTCCTCAGCAAGCACTCGGCGCATATGTTATGATTTTTGTCAATTAAGAGTCTCGCTGTTCTAAGTTTATTCACCAAATTGTGAATAGTTTGTCTGCTGGTAACTCTTTCGTCACAAAATTTACGTCGAAATTTTCGCTGACACCTTCTAGCAGATCCGTATTTCATGTAGGAGTCATCCAGAAACACGCGGTGCTCTGTTAAGTATACCGCACCATGACAGAACACACTTCTCCTTAATTGTAACTGAGAATAAACGGCTAATGGAGCTGAGATCTGCCGCCCACTGCTGGCAAATCATAAACAAAGTCCCACGCATGAACCGCATTGCTCGCCGTGAAACGTAACGCCATCAAGCGGTCCATGAAGTTAATAATTCCTCTTAATTCCAAATGTCATCGGCCATCAGGCACACTTATTCATCGGCAAAATTCGTATGCGCCTAGTAGCCGGCGGTGCTCCGGTCGCCGTTAAGCGCAGAGACGTGAAGGGTCAACAAAGGTAATGGACCTCTCTGTATATAACTCCATACTAATGAACATGGGCTATGGTCTTAGTCTCCTTGCATATAACATGATGAGAAACAATTACAATCCATAGCAACCTATAAGTGAAATAGTGAAATGACAAACATTACAAATGTGATTACTGAAACATTCCCCAATAAGTTGCTCAGAGCAATTGACAAGTACGTTAATGTTTCACATATTAAGGTTTTGGATTTCGGAAATCCCGCACATTTAGGTCTACATTCAGGTGGGTATCGACCTCACGTGGGCCATATTAGAGATCACGCCGTGAACAGTAACGGGCATACTTAATTACTTCTTTCCTACAGTTCGTGGGGATTCTTATGTGTGAAATCGAAAGTCAGCTACTTTCAATTTAAAAATGGATGTTTTTAAGCTGCAGACTTTACATTTTGCTGCCACGATTCCAATAAATTACGAGTTGTGTTTTATTGAACGACGCTATCGGCTGCCAGCCTATATTAAAATCGAATCAGGGGATGACTGTGAATAATGAATTGGAAAGGATGTGCAAGGAAGCGGTCGTGGCCTGATTTATGGAACTATCATGGCATTTTCCTGCATTGACTGAGGGGAAATCGTGGAAAACCTTGGGACAACCGGTGTCCCGGACGAGATTCGAACCTTGCATACTCCAAATACAAGTCCGAGGCGTTAGCACTTAAGCCAACTGGCTCGATTGTGGCGTAACATTCTAAGATGCAGTAATAAAATATTGGATACGGTGAAGAGGGGTTCTAGGTCCTCCTTACACATACAGGCGTACAAGAACAGTTCAGATCATGATGAACTCAACAGAACAGGGGTCCTTCTTGAGAAGCTAACTTCAGCTGATCCGTGAAATTTTCCGCCTTTTATGGTACTCAAAAGGATCATTATCGTCTTCACAAGAAGAGCGTTGCGCTCGAGTGAGAACGACTCCTTGTTTCTTAGTCTTGACGTCCTGGATTCAAATCTGGTTGTGGAGAACGCTTCTCCTTACTTAAGATTTTTAGTATTTTCCTCAGTCCATCCAGCTAAATGTTGTTACAGTACTTCAAATCAGACCATAACCGCTTCCTTCTGCATCCTTTCCAATTCACTGATCATCTTATGAATCCACGCTGTACAGTTGAATTACTGTACTTACAAATAAATATAATGAAATATAATGAAAACCCTAGGTTAGATGAATGTACTTCACAACCCCACCCCTTTTTATGTCAAAATTGCGACATAATTTATCCTATCTGCACCTTGGTCTCGTATAAGTGATCTTCGCACTTAGTCTGTGTCACATGTTTCGCCAATTTCAGCCGTCTGTATTTCATCACTCAAATCACATTTGAGGAGCCGAACAAATTCCTCGTTACACACTTGTCTGTCTCTTCCTGCATGTCTTATATTACCTATCAATTATTTCACAAAATCGATTAGTGGTGGAGTTCTATAGAACACAACGGTAACCATATGTACCACCTGTTTTAATATTAAAAATTGCATTTTGCCTACAATGTACAATGGGTTTCGTGTGGTTCTCAGAATAAAATCCCGACTACTTCTTTCTTATAAGCAGTCAAGTCCTGGGTCACGGATAAAAAGCCAATTCAAAGGCGATGTAAGTGTCCTGCCCGTTCAGCAGTCGGCTGGCAGTGATCGACTCAGTACAGCGCCATGGTGGAGAGATGACTAGTACAGAAAAACCTAAAAATTTCAGCCAGAAACCTGCTTCAGTGTCTCTTCTTTCCACCACCAATTTCACAAGCCTTCCAGCACTAAACCCAAGCTTCCAAGGTGGGAAGCCAACCTGAAGTCTTCAGTCTTAATTCAGCGCTTAGCAATTCACTGATTTTTGTAATGGAACCATAGTGTGTTTTATATAATGCAGAATCTTAATTTTTGATTATTATTTATCCCATGATAATGCTTCGAACAATACTACCCAGCTTAATCTGGTAAGGATTGTGACGCCACAGATAATCCCGTAACAAAAATATTCACTCTCTCAACAATCCAGAGCTTAACCCTTGAAATGTGTAATTCATTAAATTCAACTTTCGAACTCTATTGCTTCTATACATAAATCAGATAATATAAGACTGTATACACATACATTAACATATAATACACGGCTATTTTCTTCATTTCCTGCCCACGATGATGGAATTGTTGCTGGTGTGACCCGAGTGTAATCAAATTCGTAACAAGAATGTGTGAAACTGTAGTCCAAGCTGTTCATTCGAATAATAAAAACATATTCTCATTCCACCCTACGTGGTGGTAGCATCCAGCATCCCTCATGGTCCAGCTACTCTGAACATTGATCCACAGAAATGCTTGCGCCTATCACAATCAATAAAACTCACCTTATTCTCCTGCGTAACAGCAACTCACATCATCATAAGCGATGATACCACAGTAATGCACTTTTGTGTAGAAAACAAATTAAGGCTAGTTACTGCAAACTAAGCAAGGCACAGAACACTACGTCCAGCGAAACAGCTGTCACGAAACCGCTCACTTCCTGCACTTCACACCGCTTCTCTCGAACTATTGGTCCTCGCTGGAGTTGTGCGCTGCTTCGCTTGGCTGGGGACAAGCTGCTGGAACCTAGCGCTCGTTACCTCTTCCGGCACTAGATGGCGTTAGCTCTCTTCAGCGTGCAAACACAATGACTGCAAGAATAGGACCTGAATTTACAACTTCCAGAGAGATTTCACACACAGATACCATCGAAAATTATACACCCGGGGAACAGCCCAAGAAGGTAAAATGACAGCCGAGATAGTTCATTTTGTATAGCTACTAGGATACGGGTTGGACAACCGTGGAATCGAGGTTCAATTGCCAGCAAGGCCAAGAGAGTTTCCACAATTTCTAGTGAGATTCTAAAACCCTCTGAGACTCCTATACAATGAACACTGGTGTCCCTTTATCGGGTGAAAAGCGCCCGGCGAATGAAACTGACCGCTGATCTCCATTTGATACCGGGGTTAAATTTTTGTGGAGCTCTAACTCCATTTCTCCATACTCCTTCATGGTGTGGTGCTTAATTAAGCATAGAGACAACTGCATCGTCCAATAATGAACTTGCATTATTCTCTCAGCGAGTGAACATGATACAACACTAAATTACAAAGATAAAATAAACAAATACAAAAAAATAACAGAGAAGCATATACATAAGATCTAAAAGTTTGTGACGATGGTATATTGCTACAAGTATTATGTTTTTGGACATTATCCGTCGTCTTGTCTATTTTTTAAAAAAAGCGTCCTGTTTCTTTCTAAAACACAACGTTTCGGAGACTGGATTCTGTCCCCAACTGAGTAGGTTTTACCTGAGGACAGGGACAGAATCCAGTCCCAAAAACGTTGTGTTTTCAATAAGAATCAGGACGGTTTTTTTTAAATAGACAAGACGATGGATAATACTTGTAAACTTATACATAATTGACAAACAGAAAAAGGAGGCCGTGCCATAGCTTAGGCAGTTAGTCGCCGGTTACCTTTCGCCGCGGCGATAGGTTATGTTATGGTTATGTTGGACTTGTAGTGGATAAAGTGGCACTGGGGCAGGTTCTCTCCGAGTACTTCGGTTTCCCCTGCCAATTTTCATTCCAACGACTGCTTCACACTCATCATCATCTATCATCCGGAGCTGGTGCAATAGGCCAATTAGTGGCCGCAGTACCAAGTGGACTCAGTCTCACCCCACCCCAAGAAAAAGAAAAGAACAACTTGGAAGGAAAGAAAGAAAGAAAGAAAGAAAGAAAGAAAGAAAGAAAGAAAGAAAGAAAGGAAGAAAGGTAGACTGAAATAACCGGAACAGATTTTACGTACTTTTCATTCCAGCAGATACTGTCTACTCATACACGGATATGGTAAATATAAGCCTGTTACTGACTGGCTCCAAACATGTGACTACAATATCCACAGTTACTAACAAGACAATAAAAAGGGCATATAGAACAAGACGTTCACCAATTTCGTGCGCAGATCAGAACATTGTTTTGTGAGATAACAGAACCTTAGGTATGTTACAGAAAGGTAAATGTAAAGTCCCTGAACTCAATTAGACGCCGTGCCATGAAGACGTATGGGTTGAGGTCTAAGGGTTATTAATCTCGGCGCTAGATGGAGAATAATCAAGCTCTGGCCGCAATATCCCCAGTGCCATTTGTATAAGAGGCTGGGTAGTCTTGAGAGAAGGTCAAGACGCGGTTGGAAAGAAAAATACCTCGTTCTCTTGCGAGAGGAATATCCCGGCCTCTTTGGGAGGCTGGTGGCCTTCAGAGTCAGTCTGGACGTAGTGGGAAAGAGGAAGATCTTGTGACGTGGCCTTCAGAGTCAGTCTGGACGTAGTGGGAAAGAGGAAGATCTTGTGATGTATAGACACTTTGGTGAGCAAAATCCTCGAAACGAATGAGTACAGCCATTCTAATGAAATAGGCGAATAAACAAACGGTCGTTCCTGAGCAACAGTTCGGTAAACGCGTTCCCGCGGAAAAGAACACGCACGCAACAATAGAAGAACGGTGATTTCGATGTGGTCCGCGTCGAAAAATTATATAGAAGACAACTGGGGCAATCCAGTTCAGTTTAGATCTGCAAAGGAGGCGATCATGTTCAGCTGAGAGTTGAAAGTCTGGCTGTGAAGAAAATATTTAGTTTCAAGAGCGCGGCTGTGAAAACAAGATTTTATGTGTGCTGTAGTTGCAATGAGGCTGTTATAATTGTGTTAAAATCCGTTGGAAGGATACGACTAGTGAAGATTGAGAAAACTTAGCATGTGCTAGTGATTTGTAAAGTGTGGAAATCGGCGATAGCGCTGTAATTACTTGCACCTCCGAGTCTTAGGTATAAGTGGTCAATAAATCTATTCACCAATCCATACCCCTTCTATAGTTACACCCAAGATGTGACAGTATATTCTCCTGCCGGTCATAGAACCCCGGCCTCTTTACACCCGAAATGCATAGGAGATTGGGTGGTCTCGGAGTCAGTCTGGGAGAGGTGGGGAAGAGAAAATTCTCTCCACCTGCCGGGAATTGATCCCCGGCCGCATTACTCCCGGCACCCATTGGGTGGTTCTTGGAGCCGGTCTGAACACGGTGAGAGGTAGCCAGCTCTCTTTCCTGACAGAATGAGGCTCCAATCGGCCAGCCTAGTTACCGTATTGACTGAGCCCTCTTGAATCCCTTAGAAATCCCACCTGGAGCGCACACTGGACACGTGTATAAGAGGAAATTCCCTTCGCTCCGCTCTGCCTGAATATTGTCAACATTGGCCTTCAACGTCACCCAGCTTCACTAGTGCTCAGTGTATTTACGCGACAGTGTATCAGTGCTTCACATCGGATAGCCCATCTAGATTGCACCTAACCTTCTGGGATATAACGCCCTATAGTCCGTTGAAAGTCAACTGACGTTTCGGAGGAACATGTCGTCGCTATCTTCAGGGTCGAAGAATAAGACAAACAAGAAACCAGTGTGAAAGCAGGTGGAAGTCGGTTTCGCTGACTGAACAACCCGCCCATAACACTCGGGTTCTACTGGAGCACCAGTGGGAACAACTAAACTGATGAAAGGAGACTTCATGCAAGCTGACTGAGCAGAAAATGTGGATCATATTTGCGGGCGCAGATGTGGGCTATATATTGCCAAAATTATGGAGACCATAACTGTATCCATCTTCAAGGCAAAAACGTTAAATATTGTGAAATATATTTCCCCATGCCGATACTTACCGTTGAGCAAGCGGTAGCATAGTTGACTAAGGCACTATGCTACAACTTACAGTCTTGTCTTTCCGTCTATAATGCTACAGTATTAATTTAACAACATTAATTCACACTTAATTCACTAAATGTTCGTTAGATGTTTAAAATGTCATTAAAATTATTAAAATATACGTAAATTCGATATTTTAATAATTTTAATGACATTTAACGAACATTTAGTGAATTAATGCTGTTAAATTAATAGTGTTGCATTATAGACGGAAAACAAGACTATAATTTACACCTCAATGCAACAGGATGCTGAAATATAATACTATGCTACAATCCAGAAGGTCGCGGATTCGAGTCCCGTTGAAGTTATTAGATTTTTCAATTGACCTAATCCTTCCAGACCCACTATGGCCCTGGGATCGGCTCAACCTCTAACAGAAATGAGTACCAGGAATCGTCCAATGGGTAAAGGTCGGCTGACAACTTCACTGCCATCTGTGAGCCAATTGTGCAGAAAATGTGGGAGCCTCGATTTCTCACAATCCTATTGACCTCCACTACCTGTTATAAGGATATCTTTACCCTTTCCTTTTTATTACCTTTGATATGAAGTTACAAATTTTGAGTAAAATGAGCCTCCACATCGGAGGTAATTATGTGTCAGATTTACTTTCTGTCCGTTCCCATATTAGATGTCGGAAATACTAGTCATTTTCCATAGAATTTGATGTTAAGTAGGTCTATATAAAAATGTGGCACTTTGCTTGTCTGAAACTCAAATCATATTGTATCGATTTTGAAAAAGAAAGAATTTATCGTAAGAAAACTGTAAGATATAGAATAGGGATCCTCTTAAGGTCAACATACGTTTGGATAAAGTGCACGTGTAATGAAGTTAGACGAGAGCAATTTCTATATCTGGATTTTTTTCAATTGACCTAATCCTTCCAGCCGCACTAGTCCCTGGGGTTCACTCAGCCTCTAACAGAAATGAGTACCAGGAATTAAATAAATAATTTTCCGGGGGAGTAAAGCGCGGCCGGCGCGTAAGGCTGACAACCTTACCGCCATCTTTGAGCCGATTGTCTAGATAATGTGGGACCCTCAACGTCTCACAACCCTATGGGCCTTCAAGGCCTGTTACAGGGATAGCTTTACTTTTTTACTTACTTTACTATAGAGTGATTAACTTTGAAACAATGTGTTCGCATCTAGAATAAATTAACCTAGAACCTAGAAGAAATGCGCAAAATTTTAAAGAACAAATTAAAAAATTATGTGTGGGCCTAGCCCCTACTCAAAAATCCATTGCACGTTTCCACTCGTGTTCTTACTTGGGGGAGTGTTGAAAGGCGTGTAGAATTTATCGTTAATTAAAGTGTTCTTGAATACAATCAGAACGTGCAGGTTCCCCTTGGTGTAATCCCGTATCCGTGACAGCAATAGCAAGCTAGCGTCTCTCTCAGTTAACATTTCATAGTCATGTTATTGAGCATTTAATTCATTCTGACAGTTCAGTCAATCACGATAATGCGCGCAGGTCCATATTGAAATTCCACGGATGAAATAAGACGACGCGCTTGTCACCCCTACCTGGCCTGGACGGGGCTTTATTTACATATTACACTACAGTGTGAGGTGTATCGTCCTTATGCATTAATTTATTCTACGCTTTTTCTTCCCATGTACCGGTTTTTATGTGAGCGAGGAATGTTCTTTGTACAAAAGTATGCTTAAGTATGTACTTAAAGCAGTTTTATTACAAGATTTTACAAAATGTTACAAAGACGGACCTTATTTTAAAAAGTAGCCGCTGCGTAATGGGACACTTC